TCAAAGTGACCAACCTTGTATAAAGTTAGGGTAGAGAAAATAACAGATAAAATATATAGTTTTACTGAAAAAAACGTTTGAAATGTATTTAGGAGGTTTTAGGGATTACACAATGGGAATTTGATACTTTTGATATGAAAAAAAAGTAAAAATCACTTTGCATGTGTACTAGTAAAAAAGTACTCTGTATTCACAGACAAATCTTTTTTTTTTAGTATATTAATCATATTTCACTAGAAAACTTGAAAAGACTTGTTGTGAAAGACTTATAATGTTTACTGAAAGTCTGCCAAATTTTGTGAAGATATACATACTATATTAAAAGTTAGTAGTATCAAAACTATAAAGACTTTAAATGGGTACAAAGAGGTCACATGGTTGGTCAGATTGACTGAGACCATGTTGAGAGAGTTAAAGATCACTTCAACCTTTTAAGACCATTATTAAAGGTGTTTTTCTTCTCCACAAACATCTACATGATGTACAATGTTTCATACAGCTTTATTCCTTAATGGAGCTCCTTTTGATTGACACTGATTAAGCTAATTGTAAATTTTAATAGACAATTTGATTTTGTAGTTACATGTGTTTATCAAATATAGAATATGTAGAGTGAACCAGAATGTTTTTTGATAACTTACTCATGCTAAAATAAAAACACTATAAATTATAAATGTTTGCATAGATCTACCATACATGTGTCAGTTTCCTTACTTAAAGGCTAAAGTACTTTCTTAGCTGGTTTATTCAAAATCATTCAGTTTAAAAATAATAAATTATCCTAAGATTATTAATCTAACTGTAATATACTTCCTGTATTTGTCAAATTTTTACTAGTTAGACCGAAGGGTATATATTTTAATGCAGAAGATAAGAAATAAATTCCAATATGATTATCTTACCTCCTTTCACAGAAAACTTTCTTTTTACTGACCTCTGTCAGTGAAAATTTTTGCTCACCATTAGACTTTATACTCCCATTTATTTATGCATACTGACACGCAAATGACCATGCAGCAACCCTCGACCAATAGGAGCACGACACTGCCCCTATCATAATTCTTTAATCTTGCACATATTAAACACTTCTCAATTAGCAGTTGTACTGATTAGATGTGTTTTCACTCATGGTTTAATTAACTGAGCTACAGATTTTTCTTCAGTTACTTTGTAATATTTTGTAGAGAGTTAAGACTTATTTTATTTATCTTCTCTCCTTTTTCAATTTGTGAGTTATGCACTCGAAGTTTCAGGTAGTCATGACTATCACTACTGTTACTGCTACAGTGGATTTACTGGCCACATCTACTGGATCGGAAACACAATTATTGGCCCATGAAGTGATAGCTCTGGTCCATTGAGAATTGACCAATTTCATGCAACATTCTTAACAATTTGATGATTATCCTGTTATACCTGCTGAAGGTGTAACTGAATGGAAAGATGAAGATTTAGACAGCTTTTTCCTCATCCTGAATATGCTTCTCAGTCGCATGTTATTTCAGGGGAGCTGCCCTTTGTGGGTTTTGATTAATCAAGCATGTTTGTTCAGTCCTTGTCTCCTATTTCCTATGGTTCCACCCCTGCTTTTCTTGGAGATGAGTCTAATGGGTGTGTGGGCAGCCTGTGAACTTTGTCTTTGGGTTTGACTTTACACTGGTTACAAAGGAATTTATTTGGATTTCAGGTCATGCTTTCAAGAGCACACAATTGACCAAACTCGGGAGAATTTACGTGTTGAATAAAGAACTCGTATAGAGACAACAGAATACAAATCAAATCCCTTCTTTATTTATACACTGTTAAACAGTTTGTCTATATTGAAACTTTCAAGGTTGTCTTGAGACAACATTACTTCTAAATCATTGAATTCTCTTTTTTGAAAATCTGTATGTTCATTTAATACCTATTACATTCACTAATATAGATATAATATTAATTAAATTATCAATTAAGTTAATACAAGATATTCTCTCAGTCCTAATCTGGATAACTGCATCAACAATTCTTCTAAGATATCTTTAAGTAGTTCCACAATAAGTAATATCAAATCTACTATTTCTTTAGTACAGTTAGTGTTTTTCACTTTTCTCTCTTTAGGCATTATACATTGTTGAACCTCAAGTGAACCACTGGTAGACTAGATCAGAAATAGCATATTTACATGGAGTTCGTGCAGCAAACTTTTTGAAGAGTCTGGATTACTGCCATCTTCAATCTTCTGGAGTCAGATCAGGTCCTGTAGCAAGAGAAAATGAATTTTGAGTCAGAAACACAGAATTATATACACAATTTTTAGTTTTTTCCAATTTCTCAAAAACAGATATACTTTTAACATTAGTTCTTCTAACTCACCTGGATCTTCCATCAACAAGTGGACTATTCCATCAGACTGTAACCAAAATCCACTTTGTCATTGGTCCTTACAGAACTTACTTTTGTCCATTATCTGATATTTTTGGCAAAATTATCCAAGACGATTGACTAAGTGTGTATAGAGACAAACTGTGTAACTTATTTTTTTATCAGTATTAATCCACACATTGCCTTTCATTGCCATCCCACTGTTTTTTGTGACATTGATTCATTTCATCACGTGCTTTATCTAAACAATTGCGGTTTTATCTCAACATACCATCTCTATCTGGAATGGTATCTAGCTAACTCATGCAATGAGCTTCAATCATGTCTCTTCCTTATTTGGTATTGTCCACATTTTTCTTTTATAACATTCTTCAATCTGTGCTTTCCCTATACTGTACGTTATATATATAAAATAGAAATGTACTTCTTGAAAA